GAGCGGGGAGAAGTGCTCGCCACATCGGCGGCGTTCTCGCCGGCTATGTGCTCTGGTGGTGGAGCCATGGCGGAGCTCTGAGAGGAGATGGGAAAAGTCTGACTTTTCGGGGAGGGAGGGTGGGAGAACTGTGAAGCAGAGCTCGCTGTAATATAGCTGCAAGAATCTCACAAGGAAAACTTCTCGAAGATTGAATTCAATTTTAAATGATTGTAAATGAGTTGAGTTCGAGGAGTTCGAGGAGTTCGAGTTCGTGTTCGAGTTCGAGTTCCGAGTCAAAATTTTAAATCTAATTTTTTTCGATCTGATTGTAAGTCAATCCAAACTTAGCTTGAAATCAGAACGTTAATTATACTAGTGATGTTAAGACTGTGACTTTAATGAATTTAGATTAAAGATCATTAATCGCTCGAAAATTGATCCAAATTTTGACATGATGAAGCTCTGTGAGGAGATCGGCAAGCTGAGCTCGATATAACACAGCAAAAAAAAAATATTACAGAACACACAATTGTCGTATGTATTTATATATCTGACACTTGAACTTTCATATTTATATATATAACACTCGAATCTTTATTATTACATAAAAAATAAAATATTATTATTACTTTTTAGAAGTGAAATATAGTTTTTCATGCAATGGTTAAATTACCAAAATGATATGTATATAAATATGAAATTTTAGAAATCAGATACGTAAATATCTAAGAATCGTGTGCTATGTAAATTTCTATGAAGGGCTAGCGGTGCGCGACAGGTGTCCATGTACGAGTTAATTAAATTATAATAAAAAGTTATGTTGACTAGAATTTAATTATTGTGAGTTTGAAAAATTTTCAAGCTCATTTTAATATGATCATAAAATATGAATAATTAATTAATTTCTAAATCATATTTTTCTAAATATAAATTTAAATATTTAATTATATATTTTTGTAAGGTTTTTGTGAGCTATATCTATCCAACTTTTTCTTTACTTTAAGAAAGTTAGATCCTAATAATATGATAATAGTTTTGAATTAATAAAATATAAATTTTAATTGCTTTGAAGTTTTGCTCTTGTTTTGAAGTGATTGTGGATGATTAGCTTAATTGTTCTCCTCTTAAGGGAAGAGATTTAAGTGATTGAGAAGATAAGGGAGGACTATTAATTAAACATGAAGTCAACTATTATTAAATGTTACAATGAAAGTCAATGGAGGGTGGTGATTGACTTTGCATTAATTGTTCGAATGAGGGGAATGTAGGCAATCAATAAAATAGATATTATACATATATAATTTATACACATCAAATGTTGACCATTAACACATAATTCATCTCTTAAGAAAATGTAAGAATAGATAACCAATAAAATGCCCCTTAAAATTAATTTTGATTTGAAGTCTTGATACGCCACCGACAAATTTTTCTCATCCGACACGAATCTCGAGACATGACACGAATCTCAAGATATTTTAAGCATGAAACATTTAAAGCTTGATAAAAAGTTATTCAGAGCTTTGATTTCAGCAAACTTATAGTCAAATTAATCGGCTTGATGAGACCGACCGAATGACATAAAAACTAGCCAAATCCGGGTCAAATCAATCCCATAGCAATTCATTGAACCACACTTAAATTATTTCCGGACATATTTGAAAGATCAAAGAGTTGTCAAATATGACAAGTTTATACTCAAATCGAGCAGCTCGACAAGACGAATCCAACGAGCCCAAAATCACTCAAGCTTGACATCATTAAGACACTTAAATGTCCAGCAAACGCTGTATGATGAAGGAAGCTCTCCAGATCGTCCTATCAAAATAATTCATATTTCTGTGTTAATTGCATTCAGAACACTATAAATATAACCCCATCCCTCTCATGAGGGGGGCTGAAGTATGGTGAGAGAGCCTGAGACTTTGAGGAGAAGTCGCAGTTAAGCATCACTGCCGATCGTCGTCGAACATTGCCGACCTCTGTCGTCGACTACCGCCGACCTTTATCGTCGACCACCGCTGATCTCAATCGACCATCGCCGATCGTCGTCAACCTCCGCCGATCGTCGTCGATCACCACCAACCAGACGCTATCAATCAACGTTTTAATCTGAAAAAATATAGTTACCATTTCCCGTCTGTGGGATAAGGAGTTTCTGTAACCATCAATTAATAGTTGATTTCACAATTGGGCCAGACCATATGGTTTTTCCTTTACGGGCTTTCCACATAAAAACTTCTGGAGCAGTCACCGTTTTTTTTCTTTTCCATCTGGGTGTGTGCAGAATTCTTGTACAACACTAAGATAATAATTCGTTACTCTACTACTGCGAATTTTCTGGCATGCATCAAATCTTTTTATTTTTTTATTTTTTTAGTAGTGAAATTCTCTTTGAATTTTGTATTTTTTGTACTTTTTAACATTTCTTCATGAATGTGCAAAAATAGTGATAATTTTTATATTTCACAATAGGCCTTCTAGATTGTCTTTTACTAAACTATAGATATATTATGGGATTGTTTTCATATTTCTTGGACATTTATGTTACTTAATGAGCTAAAAAATGACTCATTTTGATTAATATATGCAAAATTCAAGATAGCTGCCGGACAACTCTGTCTTAATTATAAATTTACTAAAAATAAAATATGAATTACATTGAAATTAATTTTTTAAGTCATAATTTAAATGCTTCAATGTTTTGTGATGTAAAAATAATGTTACCATACGGACGGCGTATGTAGAAATGCGTGTGCCGTACGATCTTCACCGTTGATCAGATCAAAATTGTATTTCGGTGGACCCAATATATATATATATATATATTGTAATTTATATATTATAATGTACACTTGAAAGAATATTTAGGTGACACATTTATATTATTTTATGCCTTTATGAATTATTAAGTAACCTTCACACTCAGTCTTGATTGATTACTTAATAAATGGGAGGAAAGGGATGATTAAAATACCATTAATTCTCAAAATCAAGTATGTCCTTATACAAGTGGTCGCACTAGTTCATTTGGAGTCTAAAAACAAAAATAAATTAAATTAAAATAAAATAAAAAATAAAAACTTGAATATTTAATATTAAGAAAATAATTCTTGTGATTTATTAATTTGGGGGCATTTACATACATACCGCAAAACTTTTTGTATTTACACATTTAACAACTATTCTTTTTATATTTATATTTATAACATTCAAATCTTTAACATCATATTAAAATGTTCACGTGTGCTACCTTATCACATAAGTCTAAGAGATTCATTTGTTATAAGTATAAATATCAAACATGTGAAAATTTTCCTCAATAATGTTGAAATATCTTTATATGGTTTTTTAGTGTTTTCCGATCAATGAAAAATTGACTACAAGCATGAAAGATGCATGAATAAGGGCATGATGATCTTTAAGGAATTTTTGCCATATAACATGAATCTTGATAAGTTTTTAACAATAAATGTTCAAATTCAAATTTAAGATCATTTAGGGCAGGGTCTCGACAAGACGAACCCAATTATACCAAAATTTGGTTAATTTAGGTTAGTCAAGGCCACATCAAGCTATTAAAGCACATTTGGAAGGTCTAGTTCGTCGATTGAATGGTTAAATGAAGTTCAAATATGACATATGTATAGTTAAATCATGTGCCTTGATGAGAGGAATCCTGCAAGCTTAAGTCTAGTTCATGTCAATTTGAACATGTCGATGAGAGGAATTCAATGAGGATAATAGATATCATATATATATTACATAACTAAATATACTTCAATATTTATTTTTATAATATTTTAATATATCAATTATAAGAAAATATAACCATGAAAATTTTATTTTATTAGAAGACGGTGAATATTAGTGGTTTTCTTAATGTGATTTAAAAATTTAGTTGTGTATAAATAAGTATAAAATTTAAATGTTAAAAATCTAGGTGTTGTATAAATAACAATAAAATTTAGATGCTAAATATCACACTATCAAGCAATTTTTTTGCATTAATTTTGTATTCATCAATGTTCATGGCACTAGATTAACAAATTATCGTCTTAGTATTGTACGAGAATCTAACACACACTCATATGAAAAAAAAGATAATCACTACAAACACCAGACGTTTTTAAAAATAAAATAATATTTGAACAATATCGACCGACCATGAAAAGTCTCCTTTTCACACGTAAAGCACAACTTCGTTGGTGTATTAGTATAAAATCTAAACAAGCGTTACATCAAACTTTTGAAATTGCTCAATTTTGTTGCTTGCTTGGGAAGCTTTTATAGTTTAATTTATTACTTTTGTTGAAGAGGATTTTATAAATGAATGGAGTTTTAGGAATTAAAAGTGGATTGTAATAATTTGTTAGTGGTTTTAAGAATCATTTAATTAGTTCATTTTATTGTATTTGAAATATGATGGATTTGATCAAATGCCAAATACAAGACTCTATAGAGATTAGTGTTGGCCGCCATCGTCACCTGTCGTCAGCTGCTGCCGCCAACACCGCCCACTACCTCTATGTCGGAAACCTTATACTTCTGCCAGGATTTCGATCATTTATATACACCATTCAATTTGGTACAATCAATCATGCATGAAAACGATTTCAACATGCATAGAATTGCATGTGAAATCCATATGGTGCAAAGAAGTTGTACATTCATATAGGTACTTAGATTGGGTTCATACCCAGCTAGAAGTATCACCTCACCAAAATCATCCAAGCTTGCACACTCATAAGCGACCGAAAGAAGTCTGCATCATTATACTAAACACATTATTGAGGACAAGTCATCCCAATATCTCCATGATCCTTTTAGCCAATTTGGCAAGCTTGCCTAAGCCACTACTACTAGTAAAAAGTTGGCCAACCAAGACAAAGTAGGATAACCACTTCACATGGACCTCCCTCTCTTTGTGTTTGTGTGTGTGCGTGTGTGTGTGTGTGTATATTTTTAATAAAAGTGCGTCTCGTGGCTCCCTACATGTTAATAAAATTGGTAGTTACAAAATGAGGGAGGGAAAACAAATCCCGAACTAAAAGCAAAAGAAATACATAAGGTCCTAGGGGTTCCACATTCTACATTACAACTCGACACAAAAGAAGTGCAAAACTGGTATAATATACCCAAAAAACCCAAAAATACATGTGTTCCAAAAAAA